AGAGCCATCCCAAGAATTGTCCCAAGAATCATCCCAAGAATCATCCCTAGAAGAATCATCCCAAGAATCATCCCTAGCGAATCACCAACTAAACCTCTTAGTTAAGTCTTTACCAGACGCTATACTCATTCTATTTGTCTAACTTATTGTAGTCTTTATACTATAAACGATTCGTCCCTTGAATTCTTTTGAGGTGAATTTAATCTATTTTTAAACTTTTAATACTTTAATATTCGCTATACAAAATACGTATGGCATTATTACTGAATTTCGAATAGCACTTGAAAAATAGGATAATTATAAATCACTTTTATTTAGAATAAATCCTAATCCTGATAGTTCTGACCTTGAAAAAATGGAGTACTAAAAAATTTCACTAGCCAATCAGATTTAAGATCAGGTGTGACGCACGCAGAAGAAACGCGAAAAAATCAAAACAAACCAAAAAACCGCTCATAACTCAATATTTTATCTATGAAATTACCTTCTGCACTAACAAAAAGTTTCTTTGCGAAATTTTGGTACTTCTAAGACACTTTCTAACCTGGCTTAATAGCAAATCCTAATCCTAATCTAACAGCGAAATTTTTTTTAGAAATTTTTTAGGTGCTAGATCAGTTGGATGAACCAGTCAAATTTGTCGATCATCTGATAAATAAATTAAAATTTGGCCAAATGATCGACAAATTTGACCGGAATTATATAAGTTGTCGATGTAAACAGAAATTTCTCGTTTCCATTTATTGAAGTTTATATATAAAAGTTATATTACAACGTAAAAGAAATCGTATCACATTAATACGTATTCAAAAGTTTTGATAAACCAAAGATGAATGATTACGTATGTATTTTTTTGTTTGAAAAAAATTATAAAGTTTGGGAAATTTTTACAATTTGAAAATTAGAAACTTTATCATTCGAAAATCTAGAATTTTTTTTAAAAAAACATACTATATCAAAATGTCTAGTTTTTACGGTAAATAAATCTGTGAATCAAAAAAAAAAGGGGAAAAAAATAAATATATACAAAAAAGATATTAAATCAATTCAAGGAGACATTATATTGTCTCAAAAAAAAACATTTTTCCTATTTCTCTTTTCAAAAAATTCAAAAATTAGGAGAAAAATCACAGCAAACCAAACTAACATAACAACTCTCCAAGCATGAATAAAAAGACCCATCCTAGAAAATAAGTAAGATTCAATGATCAAACATAAAATTAAAACCCAATTAATTATTCTGTTTTTCACACGAGAATACTCTTGATTTGTTATATCGCAGTCTATCGAGTTTTCTGAAAATATATTATTTCTTGGTTCAGTGAATTTTTTTAATGGTTCAAAATATGATGGCTGAGAGGGTGGGTAATCGTCAGGACCTTGTTCTTGCTCAGAATCACTATCCTCGACCGATGATTCTTGGAATGATTCTTGGGATAATTCTAGGGATGATTCTTCTAGGGATGATTCTTGGGATGATTCTTCTAGGGATGATTCTTGGGATGATTCTTGGGACAATTCTTGGGATGGCTCT